GGTGCAATTGATAATAGTAGTCTACAATCAGATCCATGGTGTATCACGTATCTGGTTGACTATGAATCACCGAATTTAATTCGTCCCACATTGGTACAAGGATCAGCAAGTCCAATAGGTACTGTCTTTTCAAATCAGTCACTATTTTCCATAACAGGTAGGCATTTTTTTGAAATATAGTGTGCTTTTGTTCTTAAATTGATCTGATATACTCGATTTTCTACTTTTATCAAACAGCAACAAGTCCAGTTGGTCGACCTTCTCGTAATGGAACATATATCTGTTTTCATTTGGATTCTACAAATGCATCAGTTCTATGTTATGATGCTGGATATTCTCCAAATATTATTTATACTGGATTTACAATTGTAATTGTTACAACTATAACATGGACACCTGGTCAATCTTATTATGTCACAATGGATAGTGGATTTGCTAGTGGAAGTGTCTTTTGTCGTAAGTCTTTTTTTTGTGAAAGTGAAAAATTAAATTTTTTATCATAATTGATGTAATTGTAAAGATGCTGAATCGGCACCCATTACTGATAAAACATTTTGGCGATTTGATATATGGAATCCAGCACTTTCAAGTACAACCACAACGACCACTACTCCACCAACAACTCATACAGTTACAAGCCTAGGAACAACTACTACTTCTGTCAATACTGCAGTAAGTTAATTTCAATTATTCTATCTTTCTTAATATTACCCTTTTTCATAGTGTACAACAAGTGGAATAGTCGTGACTACGACGAATGCTTCCACGACTACAACAACTGTAACTACCACACCTCCAACTACCGCTGGTAAGAAATGACATTTTCAATAAAATATTTCTTTTTGAAGGAGTACTTTATAATTCATTAATTTGTATTCTAGGTCCAACAACAGCAGGCCCAACTGTCACAGGTGCAACAACCGAATCGACCATTCCTGTTTTTTATCCAGAAGATTTCGTAAGTCTCTATTGAAATATGATTGATATTCTTGACATAAATATATGCGTATTAGGAAAATGCATGTAAACAACCAGTTGCAGCTATGTCAGCTGTTCTCATGGTTGCTTTTCTGCCTATACATGCTCTGGCAATGTATACTGCTTTCACAAAATTCTCAAATACGTTCAAACCATCGAACATCGCTGCAAAAACAAGACATCAACAACGAATGAAAAATATTTTTCAACGTTAAAGACAATTTTCTGTTGCCTCGAACATTGGACATTTTTCTTGACACAATTTTGTTTTATTTCATAATTATGTTACTAATCAAGATGTGAAACTAATCTTTTTTTTGTTCCCAACTAACATTTTTCTCTATTCCTTCCAAAGATACTGATTTTGAGTGTTTCTCTTTGAATACAGACATTACACTAACACTGCCGTTTAATAAAATATATATGACAAGAAAGGAAAAATGGCATTATTGAAGGTGTGAGCGAAGGCCTGAATATTTGGTATAAATGAAAATTATGCCAATACCCACGCTCTCGAAAAATTTAATCAAAATTTACATCAAAATAAACGAATAAATCGATTAAAGAAAAATTACAAAATCTTTATATGAAAACAATTTCTGTTGATTAGATAAAACAGTAGTAAAAGATTACTTTCTAAAGTTTAACTTAACTATTATTAATATCAAATCTTTGAACTCGACTATTGAAACTATCGGTAACATATAGATTATTTTGACGATCGAATGCTATTCCTTTTGGCCAGTTGAGTTTATTTGGTTGATATCCTTTGCCATTTCCACCCACAATAACACCAACATTTTTTGATTTTGGTGACCAACATGTTATTTTACGCTCTCTATTATCAGCCACAAAAATTTCACCTAAATGATTCACAAACAGTCCTTCTGCATAATCCGTTTTAATTAAAGCATCTAGACCACCAGCAACGACTATTCCTTCTTAGGAACCTTTTTCCCATTTTGTTATACGATGACCGCTCCATGTCGATACATAAACTGAATAATTATCATCAACGAAAACAGAGTGAAGGTCTTGTAATTGCTTAAATGAAATACAATCTTCATTTTCACTTACAATGAATGTTTCTTCCTTGTTCCCTCTTCTCACTTCACGTTTTATAGTATCTAAAGTATAAAGATTACCATCTTTGTCTATTGCTAATGCATAACAGTAAATATTAGCAATTATCACGTAACCATTGTACAACTCGTCTGTTTCCTAAATCACAAATAATCAACGAATTAGTTCTTTTATCAACTACAACATCCATTGGCTGCTTCAGTTGATCTAATCGATTTCCTTCTTCATTGCCACCAGCAACAACTTGCCAATCGTTTGTACCAAATCTGCATTGAACAATACGATGTTTTCCACATTCAGCAGCACAAATACCACATGGAAAATAAAGTTAAAAAGAGAAGATTTTCTTCAAAAAAAAGAGAAAAAGAAGTTATATTTTTCAAAATCATCTGATAAACTAACCTATCGATTTGCCCATTAATTGATATTGTTGTTTAAATACAATTGATTTCTCATACCACGTTTTACTCATCTGATCATTTCCTAGTTGAGATAATACTTGACTAAGATCTTCATATAAATCGGCAAGTAAGGAATCATTGGACGATAGTTGTTCAATCAAACGTTGAAAATATTTTTCAGCTAAATCATTTTTACCCATTTTGGATAAAATTTTTCCTATCAATCTTGGATTCGCCATATCATTATCAATTTGTTCATTTAAATTCAAATCATTTTCATTGCATAAAGTCATTTGAATAATATTTGGCCCGTTTAACTCATACACACATTTCTCAACACGAAATATTGATCCAGGCATAAACAAAATTTCTGAATGATTACTCAGTTCACTTATATCTCCAAATGGTTTACTTGTCACAACATTTGGATCAGCATTGATTTCAAAAATAACTTTCATAGACTCCGAGCCAATATCCAGTTGATCAAAAAGTGAACATGCTGTGGAATAACTTTTAGTTGTAGATAGAAATGAATTAATTGATAAATAACTGATTGCATTGTTTATATAATAATAATAATCACCAATTGACATGATTTGACTTCGATATACTTTCAAACGTTGTTTTGATTGATATTTTCTTAGTTGTTCTTTTATATCAAATAGAAATGAACGAAATAAAAACATCATCGAAAGATTTTCAGTTTTCAATACAGCATTTAATGTTGAAGAAAAAAAGAAATCTTTTTTCTTATACCACCATAAAACTTTATTTGATAAATAATTTTCTTTAAACTGTTGAATATTATTTAATTCATTTGGATTATTTTCATATTCATGTTGAAGATAATGAATTAAATTATTTTGATCATTTTCATTTGATTTTAATTTAAGAAGAGAATCAAGAAATATTTGTGAAAATAGAAATGGAATATTTAATCGTGTTTTTGATTGATTATGAAGCGAATATCCATTGATTGAAAATGATTCTTCAAGTTTTCTTTAAATTTTAAACTTTTAATTGCTTTTTGAAAACTTTTACTTTTTGAAATTTTGATGACCATTGTTTATCTGTATTACTATCAGAACAATAAACATAGATTGATAGAAGTTTATTAATTTGATGGATATGAGGTACTATGATTTTTCCAAATTTATCATTAACAATAAGAATTAAACGGTTCTGTTCCAACGATTGTTCAATATCTTGACTAAGATTAGCATTCTGATCTAGCTAAATGAGAGAAAACATTCCTGGATGTTTTTTATCATTGAAAAGATTCGGTGTAGCCATTATTAACTAATCAGACTAAATCAATAGAAGGGTCTTTAATAAGTTCACCTTATTTTATATAGTCAACAACTAATATTTTAAATCAAAAAGAAAAACAATGATATTTAAACTATTCTCCTTCTTTTACATATACAAAGAAAACGAATTTTGTTTTTATCATAGTTAAATAATCGTTATCTTTTATAATATGTAGAAGTTGGAAGTTTTGTTGGTATAATCCAACTACTCAAAGCATATATTTTGTTATCACGAAAAGACAAATATACGTGCAAAACTGACTATGAAAATATTTTTTTTCATTATATTTTGAGGGTGTGGATATACACAATAATTACATCATATTCTTACTCAGCTACCCATACCCTTACTACGATGAACGGACGTTGAAAGAAGTGACTAAATGAAGAAATTTTCTTGTAATAACAATGAAAATGTATGTTCAACTACGTGTTTCATTAAATCAAAAGTTAATATTCAAATCGAATGAGGACTTCTCATCCATGGCTTTATCTCTCTTTTTATTAGGAACAGAAATAATAAAACATAAAAAAATAAATTAGTTTTTTATGTTTACAATCAACATGAAAAAATCGTAGAAAAGGTTAATAAATTATTGACTCAATAAAAATTATCATTCCAATCATCTGAATCATCTTCTTGTTTTGGTGCAATAAATGGACGTCGTTTGGCCATTTCTATTTCTATATCGTGCATAATATTTGAAGTTGCTGATGGTACTTTGTCGGCTGCATTGGACTTTGTAACAGGTTTAAGTTTATTTTTTTCCGAAAAATTATGTATCTGTATAAGAAAGGGATCATCACTACCATCTACTGTATTAATAGTTGTTGCTTGTGGTTCTTCAACAACTGTTAACGGTGTTGATATCGACGGAACTGTAGGCAATAATGATGGAGTAAGTACTGGTGCCGGTGAAGGAAGTGGAGCAGGAATAGAGATTGAAGCAGGAGTAACAGGAATGATTTCTGGTATATCGACTAGTGGTAAAGTAGATACTAAATTAGAAAAAGAAATTATTTTATTTCAATTTTCCTAATAAAATATTTACCTGTTGGTTCTGGAGATTTAACAGGAGAAGCTGTTATGGTAGTTGATGTTAAATCATTAATATCTGGTAGTATTAAATCAGAAAATGAAGGTGCAATAGAAGTCATTTGTTGTTTTGTTCGATCGATGACAGTATTATCAACAAAAGTCGCATAATTATCCAGTTCAGGTAAATTATCAGGTAAAGACAATTCAGGTACAAGTCCTAACGTGGGATTATAATTGATATCAGCCATGGCTGAACGTTCAAACATTTGTTCATAAAATAGAGGTGATGGATTTTCAATAAAACTGTTACGTGTTTGAATCGATCCATCAACTTGTTTACGCATTCGAGTAGCAGTATTTAATGAATCGGTTTTTCTTGATTGTATATAACTATAAAGAATTAGATGAAAATTAGTTTTATTTAGTTAATTACTTACGGATTTTCTTTTGTATTATGTTTAAGCAATGAAATAACCGATTTAATATTCGTTGGCAATCTTCCAAAACCATTTAAATTAATTGTTTTGGTTTTTTGCAGAAAATTTTCTTCATATTGTTTTAAAACAATTAATGTATCATCATTTGATTTTAAATTTGTATATTTATCATCGGATTCATTTGAATGAAATAAATCATAATGAAATACAGATGGTTTATTATCTGTATCACATTCAAATATTGATTTAAATGTTGAACGATTTTGTTCAATTGGATAACGTGCGCTTGAATGGACTTGAATAGGATATTTCGAACCTTTTATATGATTGATATGTTCATCTGAATGTTGAATCTGTTTATCCAATTGATTTACTTCTGCACGATAAACATTAAGACGACTAGATATACGATTAAATATGTCTTGTGATATAGAATCCAAATAATCAAAAGTATCAGCAAATTGTTTAATTAGTTCCACACGACGTAAACCGTCCGGAATAATAGGTACTGTATATAGTTGTGTCGAAGTCATTTGAAAATATGAATAGTATAGACAAATGAATTATTACTGGTATTTTTATATGATATATAAAGTAAATAAAAGTCGGAAGATAAGATTTTTCTTTCGAAATAAATGTCGTCATATCATAAATCAACAAGACACTCTGTCATATGATGCAATTACAGAAAAACAAAAAAAATTCAATGTCGATAAGATTATTTTACATTAAAATCTAAGAATTATTGTTTGTTTCGTATAAAATAACAGGGGCGTGGGTGTGGATATTGGCGTTTCATTTGTTTGTACATCTACATCTACACATCCACACTCTCAATGATTCGAAATAGTATAACATACGAATCCACACGAAAGAAACCCAAATGTAATTACGATATCGTTGTGAAATACTATTTTATGATGATGACACACAAAGCAAACAGAATTAGAACAAGATTGTTTTCTTGTCGACTGAAGATACATAATGATTATGAATAGAAATACTGTTTATAATAGGAACAAATGAGATGTTTTAAATAATTCAGAGGCACAATTGTTTTATAAAATTGAATAAAACTCGACTTTTAGATTCAAAATTCTTAAAACAAGATAAGAAATATATTTTAATTTCCATACACAGAAACTTTGAAGTTCAATTAGCTAATACTACATCCACCATGTAGTAATAGAAATAGATTTTGGATTCAGAAATAAAGTTCAATGATTGATATGAAAATGAAAACTTTTTCGATACGAAATATATTGTAGAAATTTAAAAACTCATGCAAGAATGCTGAGATAAAAGTAATGTGTATATAACATTCGAAGCAACATGATTAGTGTCGACTATCAAAATGTATAGTCAGAAGTAGTTACAATTTATTAGAACAGACATAGTATCGTTAAAAATAACAGGAAATCAAGAATAGTTAACATTATTTATTGTTAAAGAACGTGATGATGATGATGATGAGGATGATTAAATCCATAGGGTGTACCATATCCATAAGGATTGCTATAGCCGCCAAATCCAACGTGGTTATACGGATTTCCAAAACCAAAATTGCCGTAGTGATGATGATGCCACAATTCATAAGCACCCAAACCAACAGCACCGACTATTGCCATGTCAAGAAATGGATGATGCATATTGTATAAATATTTGTTTAAATTATCGTCGAAAAAAAA